TTTCAAACTGACCAACAATCTGTAGTTGTTATGTTTTCTGTTGTCCCTACCAGAAACTGCGACACAATCTACTCTCTGACAATGCCTTGTTTTCCTTCCCACTGTTTAGTTGCTATGTAGACAGTGCCCAGTTTATAATGGGGTGTGGTAAAGACAATAGCAGGTTCCTAAACGCTCAAGGGTACTGTTAAGCAACACTAACCATTATCTTTGAACATTAGCCTTTATTAACTCTTCCATTGTTTTTCCTTACCTAATTTTATTCGAGTAGAAGTTTAGTACTAGTATTTTGTTGCAAATTACAAAGCTTTTACTAAGCAGAGGTTACTTTCTGCATTCCCTAGTATCCTTACAGTTTGCGTTTTCGTATTGAAGCAATGTTAACAAATATTTAAAAACTGTGTACTTATTAAAACTATTTAGCTCTACATGACTGAAATATATTGTCAAAACCAATAAAACACTGTGTATACCAATATTTTTATTTTAATAGTATTTAAGCTACTACCTATGAATTTAGTTTACTACTAATAATTTCACCCATTCCTGAATATTTCAGCTGGAACCAATCGAAATATCTCTTGCACTTATCTGTACATGATACCTCAGATAAATCTGTGTTATAAGAAATCCCAGGTAAAACTGTGTTCTGTCTCAGCCATAGTTTGAAATTTTTGTTACTTCTATCTCTTTTATTAAAATTCAATACCTACCAAATATTTCAACATCGTAATTGAAGCTTTCTAGCTCTAGTATTAAGGAAAGTAAAGGTGTACTGTATTTTCAAATAATACCTTCCAGGTCAGCTATTACAATTAACCTCACACTCCTCACTTCTTAACATCGAGATCAAATTCTTTGTCTCCATGATCTCGTCACTTACTGCTATATTCTTTGTGTGATTGATTCATTTGTGTTACACAGCTCTCATGAATAACTTTATGCAATGTTCATATACGTGTGCAAGACCACACATACATATACTGCTACATAAGTACCACATAGGAACTAGATTGTACTTGTGGTAGGGTCATGGGATATCTGTGAACCATTGTCACAGCAATGGTGAAGAGAGTGTAGCTAGGGATCCAGGTCACGCTTAAGATTCAAGGATGCCTGCATTGTTTAAGCTGTTTGCGGGTAATAAAGATAATGTTCTACAGAATGGTCAAGCATGAGTACATGTAAACTTGTAGACACATAGCTTGATCATTTAGTTCAAATTTTGAAATTCTCACGTTTTGCTCCGAAAAGAAATTTTAAAGCAGAGGATTTCTATAATTGGGCCTGTTATATTTTTAACCCATACTGTTGACCGAGTTTTTCTGGCCGGTTAGAGTTCTTTCTCTTGATACTTTGTTTTCAGTCTTAATTCTTGCTACCTTTGTTTCAATCAGCCACTTGTGGACAATGTTTTCTGTATTGCTGTACTCAATTCCTGTTCTCTGCATGACAATGGAAACTAGCTGTGGTGAGTTTTCTGTTTCTGTTTACTTGATGATTTATTTATTTAGTTATATAATTCTTTTGTAAGTAGTATCTGTACACTGAGTGGTCACAAGTAAATAGACACCTAATTTTTCGTCATTGAACTGATTTATGCTAACTAGTTTGTGTTCACAGAGCACTATATAAATGAAAATGGTCTGCACACTAATTATCTTGTGCTACAACATGCTTAGAACTCAAGGTTCTCTCGAATTGTCAGATTTTGTTAGAGGAAGGATAGTTGGTCAAGCAGACGGTGGAATAAGTCAGCGGCAAATTTCGCAGAATTTGGGAATCCCGCTTTCGACAGTCAGCAGAATCATCGCGCAGTTCAGGAAACATGGCAAGGAAACAACTGAGCAGCGTCCGGGTCGTCCTGGTCCATCGGAGACGACAAAAAGTGCTGTCAATAGGAGCATCGAAATGGATCCCAGATTAATGACTGCAGAAGT